ACGAACTCATCGAGCCAAGGAGAAGGTATCCCCCCCCTTCTCATCTCTCTCTGTTTCTCTCACCCAGATGCATAGACAGGCCATAAATATGGATGAACTACCGTCAATCTCCAGCCTACCCGATCCGTAGGATCTACTCCCTCCGTCCGGAAATATTTGTCACCAAAATGAATAAAAGGGGATGTATCTAGATGTATTTTAGCTCTAGATACATCTCTTTTTGTCCATTTTAATGATAAGTATTTTCGGACGGAGGGAGTATCATCTACCGCTATCAGTTTCTTCAAAAGAACCTTTTGTTTACCTTCCACCACCACTTCCAGTCAGGAATTGGGACGGGAATACGGGAGCATGGCCTCATGTTCAGATGAACGCTACGGTGTAGCGACGGGTCTGGTGATCTATCTGGTGAATCGCCGGCGTCGGGGAGGTCGGTGGTGGCGGGTGCAGCAGCCAGGCTGCGCGGCCTGAAGGTGTTTGATTAAATGGCTCACCGTAAATACAACGCCTGGCTGAGAAGGCGGAAGGTGAGTGATCCCCCCTCGCCTCGCACGAATCCCACAAAATATATAGGCAACCAAGCACTGCCTTCCTCTGTTAATGGATGCCCGCCAACACCGGCCTCCGTTACTCTATATGCTGCAAGATATAGAAACCTTGAAGATTGTTTTTGACCTAAAGGTTCCGGAGATTTTTGTTCCAAACTATGCGTTTTGGAGATTATTAAGTGCCTTTCCAATTCCCAGTCATCCGGCCACAGTTGCTACCGATGCCGTTGTTGTCACTTGGCTATTTTCCAAGCAAATGTTTGGTTCCAAAACAGCCAGCTTGCCTTGTCTGACCTCTTCGGAGTATGGAACCAACTCATGGTCCAGCGAGCAAGTTTGGCCAACGTCAGCATCTGCAAGCAGAAGGACAGGAAATTGCCCTTGGCATAGGTGCTAGGGAATCCAATTATTTTCCAGTATGATTAGGACACCTTGAGGTTATGAATCCCACACGTATTCTCTTTAAAAACAAGTCAACTGCTTGACTTGGAATGTAGACCTCTTAGTCTTACCCATGGTTTTCCTTCACCTATTAAGTGGGGAGTTGGGACATTAGGACGGCCAGAACATCCAGATTGTTAGCAAGGAGCTCTTACTGAATGGAGAAGGCAAGAAAGCACATGCCTTCATCGTCTTCCTTCATAGGAATACTTCTCTTGATCAAGGTCTTGCCTTCAGGGCCTGGTTTCACACGTGCAACAGATACTCTTCTTCCAGGCCAATCTCTGAGTGGTAACCGGACCTTGCTTTCAAAGAATGGTACATTCAAGTTGGGTTTCAACTGCCTATCTCCCCCATGTTATTCAGATTCTACCTTTGGCATATGGTACGTTAACTCATCAACTTGTAGCCCTCTTCTAGTTTGGGCGCCCGACACGGTTTTGCCCATCTTTAGAACTTGGTCCTCATCATTTGGACTCTTAGAAGATGGCAACCTATATCTTAAAAGTGATGAAGGCTCACTTGTTTGGTCAGCATTTAGAACCGGCGGATATATTTCTGTACTTGCAATACTTCTTGACAACGGAAATCTCGTTATAAGGGACCAAGTGGATATTTCTGCTGTGTTGTGGCAAAGCTTCGACAACCCACTTGGTACAATACTACCTGGGGGCTGGATGGGATCTAATAGGATCACTAACAAAGAAGCCTTCCTTATTTCCAGGGCTTCCTGTTCTGGGATTGATCGTTCTACTTTGACAATATATCCAGAGCAAAGTAGAGAAATTTTGGTTCGGCTTATTCCTGACATACTCCCTCCGTTCCTAAATGTTTGTCTTTCTAGAGATTTCAACAAGTGACTACATATGGAGCAAAATGAGTGAGTCTACACTCTAAAGTATGTCTATACACATCCGTATGTGGTAGTCCATTTGAAATCTCTAAAAAGACAAATATTTAGGAATGGAGGGAGTATATCCCATCTTCTCCGGTGAAGAGTATTCTGGTGCTTTTCCCAGCTGGATGGGAGTTCATGCAGATGGAGACTCTCTTATGTTGTTCGATGATGCGCATCTATATGTATGATTGGATGATAATGGTACGGTCAGTGCTGCTGAACTAGGGGACTGTGTCTCTGTTGTGGTCTGCTTCACCTAGTGAGCTTGACTTGGTTCCATGCCGTGATGCAGAAAGCATTTGTGTAATACCATACGACAGCACTCAGCCTTACTGTTTGAGAGTTACTGCTCCACATTGTCTATCTAATGTCTCCGCTACAAAAGACGATTATTTTCATCAGATCGACGGGGTCTATAAATTTCCAGGAAGTCCTTCGTCAGTCAAAGTAAGAAGCAGCAGAGAGTGTGAAACTGTTTGTTTCAATGACTGTTCCTGTACTTCATATGCCTTCAATGAAACATGCTTACTGTGGTACTGGAAGCTGCACAGAGTATTGGTTGTGTCTGGTTCGGAATCTCGTTTGTATATACGTATGGGTAACCAAGAAAATTCGAACTCCAAGATTGAATTTGTTGTTCTAACAGTGGTAGGTGTCTTGGCCCTCCTCCTGGTTGGTCTGGTTCTCTTGTGGATTAGTAAAAGAAAGTTATTCGTTGAAAGACTAGTGGATTCCAATAGTGGCCTTACGGTCTTCTCTAATACGCAAATAAAGAAAGCAACGAGAAATTTCTTGGAAAAACTTGGAGAAGGAGGTTTCGGCTGTGTTTTCAAGGGCACATTACCAGGTTCCTCTATGGTGGCTGTCAAAATGCTAAAAGATCTTGGACAGGGTGAGAAGCAGTTCCGAGCAGAAGTGCAGACCATTGGAATGCTTCAACACATCAATCTTGTTCGTTTGTTTGGGTTCTGTGCTGAGGGAAGTAAAAGATTGCTGGTATACGAGTACATGGAGAATGGATCTTTGAGTTCTCATCTGTTTTCGAAGAGTTCTGTAAAATTAATCTGGGAGCTCCGGTACAGTATAGCACTTGGAACTGCAAGAGGCTTGGCTTATCTGCATGAGGAATGCAAGGATTGCATCATACACTGCGATATAAAGCCAGATAATGTACTCCTTGATGCAGATTTGTGTCCTAAGGTTGCAGACTTTGGTATGGCGAAGCTTCTTTGCCGAGATTTTAGCAGGGCACTGACAACAATGCGGGGGGCCATCGGATATCTTGCGCTGGAGTGGATCTCAGGGCTTCCGATCACACATAAGTCTGACGTTTACATCTACGGAATGATGCTTCTTGAAATCATTTCGGGGCGAAGGAATGTGGAGAAAATCAAGGAAGGGAAGTTCACTTACTTTCCCATCTTTGCGGCAGTCAAGGTGAATGAAGGAGATGTTATGTGCCTTACTGGATAGTACTCCCTCCGTTCCAAATTACTCGTCGTTGAAATGGATGTATCTAGAACTAAAATACATCTAGATACATCCATACGTGCGACAAGTAATTCGGAACGGAGGGAGTAGGTTGGAAGGCGACGCAGATGTGGAGCAGCTGAGCAGAGCTTGCAGAATCGCATGCTGGTGCATTCAAGATGCTGAGGATCATAGGCCAATGATGGGGCATGTTGTTCGCATGCTAGAGGGTGTCATGGATGTTGAAGTACCTCCTATTCCGAGGTCGCTGCTGAATTTTGTGGGCATGGAGGATTGCACTCCCTCTACAGACTTATATAGTCTGTGAAGGACCAAAAGCTTCGTTCCATTTGTCCAGATCTACATCAAGAATTAAGTTTGTGTCTTTTGTACTGTATTTCCTAAACTGCACTTGTCCCTTATTGGCCAAGTTTCTGAACTGCAATTTGTTACTCCCTCCGTCCGGAAAAACTTGTCATCAAAATGGACAAAAAAGTAGACTTGTGGAAAAGCTGTTTTAAGCCAACGGCTTCACCTCTTTTATGACACAAAGGCTTGTCCGTTCATCTTCAGAACAATTGAAGTACAACAAGTTTATTTATCTATCTGGAATTGAGCGCAAGATATGATATGAATGAATTCTAGTACAGTAGATTTAGTTCCACAGACTGCGGTGTTTGCAGAAACCTAACTAAGCCTTATGTTTGACGCGGTGTTTCCCATTGTTTACCGCAGCAATACAAATGTTTGCAGAAGACAAGGATGACAATTATGTCATTTTACCTGTGAGAGTTACTTGTTAGTATGGTTGTAGATTTTATTTTCCCGATGATGCATGGTTGTAGATTCTGGTGAATATTTGAGTAATGACATGGAAGAACAAACAGTACCAAGACATTTCTGGTGAATATTTGAGTAATGACATAGAAGAACGAACAGTACTCGAATTCCAGATCGGATCCATCCAATCAACTACAGATAACTCTAAAACGAACAGGAAATAGTTTCCAAATAAACCGCGTGTCTCAGTATTACAATCAGCATAAAAAGGTTTTATCCGCTGGTTTTGTAACTTGCATGGTGTAATTTGCTCGGAGTTCAGCGTGACTCCTTCAGAGTCTTATCTTGGAGCTTTCATGATTCCATTCCATTTCCAGTGGTTTTCGGTCAGAAAGTCCTTGATGGAGTCAGACAGGCCAGACTCCATATAGCCATCAGTCCATGAACCAGAGCAGCTTCTGCTACCTCACTAACTGATATCTGCTCTGTCTTGCAGGGGAATCTATGCTGTCCAGCCAGATATCGGCGATGTAGCGGTAAGCCGCCTCCGTCAAGTGGACGCCGTCCCAGAACAGACGAGCAGCCGGTTTCTCGCACAGGTTTGCACCTTCATCGCCGCAGAAAAGTGTCCCAGGCCCTCCGCAACAAATGGTAAGAACATCTTCTTCAAACCCTGCAGAATGACAACCATCAACCTTTACCACCACCTACTGCAAACAACCTACTGCAGAATATAGCTCTGAATTTGCTTACCATACTTGCCAGGCGACTCCACCATGTCCATGATTGGACCGAAGAGGTCGGCATAAACGATCATGGCGTCCGGGTGCCTGCCCTGGAGCTTGTCAAGGGCCTCCTGCAGCAGCAGGTTGTGGTGCATCCCTAGCTTGTTGATATCTTCCAGGCAACCGGTGGTGGAGTTGTATTCTGCCGGGGCGGCATCGGGGAACAAGGCGAGAACCGGCGGTGTGCATCCCGAGGGGATTGTCCCAGGAACCACAAAATTCGTCGCCCCGTGCTTGATCAGCCTCTGTTACCATTGCCATAGCTAGATATCAATACCGCGTAAACTGCCTGTGTTACCATTTCTGCAATGCAGGTTGGTGACTTGTTGCTACATTGACATTGTTTGTTGTACCTCGATGGCCATTGAGATAGTCCTGATCACATCTGGAACGAGCGGCATGATCTCTTGCACGCTCTTGGTGAGGAAACAGAAGTGGTAGTCGTTGACCCCGAATTCGCCCACGAAGAAGAGGGATCTGCCGAAGAAGGCCTCGCACTCTGCAGTGGAAATGTAAGGTTCATATCAATTCCTTATCACTCTTCAGGTAGCTAAATACGTACATGGCTTGCGTCGCTTGACTTGGAACTAGCACCAACCTTTGGTTGTGCGGCAGAGAGAAGGCTTGAGCGACTCGAACCACTGCAGCTGTACGCCCAAACTGGTGTTGAAAATGAACTTGCTGCCGTGGAAGAAAGCGGCGTCCAAAGCGGTGGCGCCCCCGACGGCGAAGTTGGCGCCTCGGCGGAAGCTCCCGTTGTGCGCCAGGGACGGCGGGACGAGCGGCAGGCCAAGGCGCTGAGCTGCAAGCAGACCAGTTGAGTTGACCACCTCAGATCAGTGGAGTTTGTTGAGAAAAGCATGACTAACTGAGGAGTGCGCATGTGTACCGATGAAGTCGATGATGAGGCGGCCGTCGGAGTTGCGGCCGGTGGGGCGGCCAAAGAAGGTGGAGCCGTAGGGCGGGCGCGTGAACGGGTCGAAGACGGAGCTGGCGGCGAAGACGACGGGGTTGTTGCCCGTGTCGGCGAAGGAGTCGCCGAAGCTGAAGATGGAGTCGTAGCGCCGGGCAGAGAGGCCCACGGCCACGGGGAAAGGAGGGATCAGTGCCCATGTCCATCCCAGCTGCGCGACGAAGAGGAACAGCCTGGCAGCGCTCGGCAGCTTGCAAATCTTAGTGGTGGACATGGCTTGTGGCTCGTGGGGGTTGCCACCTCGCAGTCGCAGCAGCGCGCGGCTTAAGATTCTCAGAGCATCTCCAACAGCCGAGCTTCGCGCCGTGCGTAAAGAACCTGTTTGCCGCGCGCACTTAGACTTGTTTAGCGCGGCCGCCAGCGCTGGCTCTACCAGCCGCGCTATAATGCAGCGCGCGCGCCGCTCCAGCAGCGCGCAAAAATACAACGCGCGCGACTCGCCGGACATTTAACATATATGGCATTTTGGACACAAAATGAGTTTGAAACATTCATCGAAATGCAATGAACACGTGAAATTTGACACAAACAAGTTGATCAAAATGCAATGAGCTCGTCGGCGCTTCGGTAGCCGCCGCGCCCATCAAACGCCCTGCAAGCTTCCTTTCCCCTCGCCTTCGAGCTGCCGGAGCCGTCCGCCGCCTTGTTCTTCTTCGCGGATGTTTTGAC